ATCACGAAATAAAAATTTTTCGAACATCACTTTCGCTCGAGCTAAAGCAAGACGACAGTCAAGTGTTGGATGTTCTATTTTTTACTCTCGAGTCAATCCATGGCGATAGTCAAACGAAAATTCACGTCGTATTTTCCTTCTTTTGCCATACTCGAACCTTAGACCTAATAAACATATTTGCATATAATTGAATATTACTCCTTAACTTTTTACATTATTTACAGAAAATTAATAGGCCAGGGAAAAAACCTTTAAATCACGAAATAAAATTTCCCGAACGTCACTTTTACTCGAGCGAGAGCTTAGCGACAGGCTGTCGCTCGAACTAAAGCAGGGCGATAGTCAAGTGTTGGATGTTCTATTTTTTGAAGCACGAGCCAATTCATGGCAACAGTTAAGCGAAAATTTCACGTCGTATTCTCCTTCTTTTACCATACTCGAACTTTAGACCTAATAAACCTATTTTCATATAATTACATATTACTCCTTGACTTTTTACATCATTTGCAATTAAGTTCATTTTGTTTATAGAATCGCCAATAACATATTTAGAACTTAACATCTTCTTTAATTGGTTTCTGACTGTTTGTTGCTTTGGTATCAAGTATGAACCGTGGCAAAACTCGGATATTTCTTTTGCCATGAAACATTGTTAGGAAAAATACAAAAAGAAAATTCGAAAATATTGGTGGAATTATATGAATAAAATAATGGAAACAAACATTATAATAAACAAAGTAACAATAAAAATAGAGGAAATAATTGTTGATGTAGTAGCGGTATTAAAAAGGAATCGAGGTATGTATTGCACACAGTTTCCATAAAACGGGTTTGTCCCTGTGGTACAAAAGGACTCACGATGTCGGTCTTCCAAGATAAAATAGTTGAAAATTTGCACTTCGTTACTACTTTAGGCAAGCTAAAAATACTCAAAATTCTATCACCAATCTAGAACAAACAAATTATCTAATCTACTAGAACAAGATTCTTCACAATAAAGAAATAAAAGAGGGATTTAGAGAGAAGAAAGAAATCTCAAATTTGTGGTGTAAAAAATAAGGAGAATAAGACCTCCTTCTATAATATTAAGATGAGAGATGTTTCAATTTTCTTAGTTAATTTTGTATTTAACACGAATAATATTACAATAACCACAATGAATTGGTAACCACAAATTAACTATGGAATTGAACCAATTCAAATACAAATTAATCGTGGAATTGAATTAACTTGAAACATATGAATTGCTGTTACAATTTCATTCCATTTATTTTTATTTTTGAATAATTTCCAACAAACATCTCAAGGGATAGGAATGATGTTCATGGGCGGACCTAGGGGGGCAAGTGCCCCCAACTTTTGAGATTTTTTTTTTATAAAATCGTGTTTGTTATCAATTGAAATCTAAATTTTAATCTAAATCAAAGTTAACAATTAATTTTAATAACATATTTCATAGAATCCATAACTGTTTTAACTTTTATCAAAATTTACTAAAAATTTGATTTTAATCGCCACCGAACAAGGGCAAAATCACAATAAATTTGAATTTCGATAACATGCTAATTTTAAAAAAATTTCGACGATCGTACGCTAATCGAATCTACGAATTGCTCATGTCATCTTAAAACTCATTTCGAGAACTACATCGTGGACATATCGAATAATCCAAACAGATATCGAAAATAGTTAAAAATACGTTAAACGTGAGCCTTAAAAAAAGACATCTAACTCGTATTTTTTTAAAATTCAATTATTTCATTAACATTTATTATTTTGGCGATACAAATTTCTCAATGTAATT